TGTGGCTTTTTCAGCCATTTTTAAATATAACAGCATCATCTCTTTCTTTCGAGACAAAACCTTCGTGCTGGTAAGTTGAGTCTTTAGCCTGTTCGAAAATTTCATATTGTTTTAGGCCCAAGTACAGCTTAATTACTAAACTTGATAAATTATAATGGAATTCTATGGTATTGATATAGTAATCTATAATTTTTTGGTTATTCAAATGTATATATATAAAAACCAAAAAATAATTATTTCATTTCACATTCTCCACGTGCAAAATTTCTTAAGGTTTAGCAACATACGACAAGCATCAACTGAGTACAAAGGTTGGAACTAGAAGAGATAATTGTTTGCTTTACTCCTTTATTTACTTTTCTATGTTTTAAGAAAAATAAGTTTAAGAAGTATAATGTATAATAATTGAAAGGTGACTGTATTTTACAAAATACTAGTCCACTAAACACAGCTAAGACAGATCACTTTGTAGAGACTAAAAATCAGTTATATTTTATTGGATACACTAACATGAGTGCACATGCGCCACATCATTGTAACTTCTGTATTGTTAACCAGGCATGGCTGAAAGATCAATATAACAAAAATAATAAATATATAAATATGTATAATGTTATGAGATTTAAGCTATTTAGTCTACACATTTATGTTTTCATGTTATAATCGGTAGTCATTCTAGAACGTAAAAGGCATAATTTAAATTTATTTCCTTTTTTTTTAAGGTGGTTATGAGATCAGTGAAATTGACCAAACAGGTATTTGTTAGTGAAAATAATAGATAATATATAAAGTTTTTTTATTAAGAAACATTTGATAACTATCTGAACATTATGAGGATTTTACCTGTGAAATTTGAAAGTTTTCTGATGAATAAAAACATTTTTAATCTTAAAATGAAAATTTACTGTGCATGTTGGATAGGGGATATGCAAAAAGAAAAAAGGCATGAGAAAAACATTGCTTTAGAAAAACGTTCTCAGGTTTATGTAAGGAATGCTGTTGGTTCCTAAAAATATTTTGAGAGACAGCTAATTTTCAGAATAACAAGAAAATTCAAAATCAAGCATGGTCAGTAACTAACATCAAAATAACCAAATAGAGCTTGTGATTTAATCCCATATATTTGAAGTATTATTATTGCTTTCAAGTTTACCATTTCATTACTTTTCACAAAACAAATTTAATACACTAAACTGATCCATAATGGTAAGCCTATTGAACTTTTTACTCAATCTCTCAATTATAATTTGAGATTTTACACAATTTCATAAATTTACTCTAAAACTTAATGTATAAGCCACATGGAAACTGACTTCAAAATAATAATAGCAGCTCACAATCATTTGGGAAACAGTTTTCATTGTGTATGTTACTAACAAAATACAAATTAACTACAAAAATGGTTATGCTATTAATGATGATTTATGGAAAAATTGCTCACAATTTAATTAAATCATAGATTTAGACAAATTTTTTCATGCAACACAATTAGCTTCATCAGTATTGTTAGGACCATCTTTACTTGACCAGTAAATTTCAAATACCAGGACAAGATACAAAACATAATCCAAACATTTATCATTATTAAATACAAAAAAAAGGGATTTACTTAGAATAAGCTTTAAGATGGATGGTCAGGGAATATTTTTGGACCAAAAAAAAAAGTCTGAACTCTCCCCTACATGCAGTAAGTTTGTAGATTTACCTATCAGAAAAAAATATATATCTGTCATGACATTCTAAACATAGTTTCTCATGGTGACATCTAAAGCTACCCATTCAAAACCTTAAGCAAAACAGATGATATTGAAACAAATAAATTAGAAAACTTTAAAGTTCATTCCTTCAGCATAAACAATGAAAGTATAAACAATAACTTCTATCTAATACATCTGATTTGTGTCCCTATAAAACCACAAATAAGGTTTTAACCTATATTCATCTCAATAATAACGATGCAATGTACAACTGCATAATCAGCAAACACTTCTATTGGCAATTATAATATATGAATAAAATGTAATTTCATGAAACAACTCTGTACATAGATGATTTTCATGAATATATGTTCTTAAAAAATTAATCTGTAATTGAAGTCAAACTATGAATTATACATGGTTACCAGTGTTTTGGTTAACTGGAAATACTGGCCAGAGACTGCTTCAAAAACTAGTTCACCATCAGAGACAGAAGTCTGTCTGACTGGCTGCAAAACCTCTGTGAAAGGCAGCTATCTTGGTGTATACATATTAAGTCAGTCTTAATTTCTAAAAAAAATATTCATAAAATTCCCAAGCTTCATTTTTCTGACATGTGATGTGTCTGAGCTCACATTTCTCTACTTATGAATTTCCTAGTATCAAAAATAGGCTGCTGTACTTTCCAACAAATTAGAAATACAAACTTTTTTATGGCTGATGGACATAGTTATAACTAATAGAAATAGCAGATTCTCCTCTACATAAACCTTGCAGGTCACTGTTTAGTTATCACACCATTAGTCAGCAGAATTGACTGGTATATGGTAATCATATTTTGGTGCTTTGAATACTACAGGAATTTTGAACAACTATTTATAACTTACTTAGAAAGCCAGGTAGATTACAGCAGTTTTGAGGCATTCTGTTCTAGGGACTGATAATTTCTTTGTGTTCTAAGGTGAATATATGAAAGCTACATGAATTATTTTCAGACATCCCAATTTGTGAGACTCAACAAGAGTTACGGAAGAATGTTTACAATTTTTACTCAAGAGCAAGTGAGCTCAATTATCCATGAGTACTATAAATCTTTTTTTTATGTACATAGTTTATTTAATATCATGTGATTTTTAATAAAGTAAATAACATGTAAAAATTAGAAATTTCTCAACTTACCTAAAAAAAAAAAAAAAAATCTTCGGTAAAATAAAGCATCTGAAATTTCATGAGCTCTAGATCTCTGTGGAACATTATACCCACCTATCACATGATTTTTATGTTAGTCCTATAAGGAAACAGTTAATGGGCTCCTGCAGTGATTTATTCCTTTTGATGCAAGGATTAATTCTCCAATGGATACAAAGTAAAGAGCAATACAACCATAAAATTGAAAGGAAATGCCCATGTGAAAAAACTTTTGATATTCATTTAAGAGGTTTTAGATGTTTTTGCAAATGGAAACTAAAACTCTGAAATGAAAAGAAGTAAATTCAATCTTAGGATGAAAATCACTTTTTATTCAGACTGACTCAGTAATGGCTTTGTAAATTCACAGACAAGCCATTAGTAAAAATATTTTATTTTTAAAAATTAGATTTTTTTACATACAACAGACTTGTAATGTTTAATAAAAGCTCATCAAATATGGTGAAGGTGCAGAATTATAGTGAACACTAGTATGTATAGCTTCACAGATACAGGTCAGTTAAGTTGGCCAAACCCATGATCAGATAGTTAATTAAAAACTAGCTTTACTATGTTAAAGCATTTTTTTTTACCATAAGTACATTAATTAATATTATAATTATTAAGAGAGAACAGATATATCAACTTCCCAATTTACTACTACATTAAGATCACACAAACAATAGATGTTTTTGGTGTAATACTGGCGATCTTGGAAATAACAGATTCCTTAAACAAGCAAAATCCCAATGCATTACTGAATCACAGTCTATACACAAAAGAGTCAAAGTTTGTTTCTGCCTGTTAGGCATATTTATGCAACAGTTTTACTGAATAGGCTATTATTGTTATTTCTTAAAAACAGTTCACACAAACCTTCTGTTGATGTTCACCCATAATCTTCTGCTGCTGTTCTTGTTCAGCAAGAAGTCGTTGTTGTTGCTCAACTAGTATTCGCTGCTGCTGTTCAGCTAACAACTCCTTTTGCTTCTCAACAGTCAACAATTCCTGCTGCTGCTGAGCTTTCTGAATTAGCTCATGTTCTTTACGAACTTTCTCTTCTTCCAATAATCTTATCTGTTCTAAGCCTAAAGCTTCTTTTTGTTGTTCAAACAATATCTGTAACAATGTATTACAGAAAAATTACAAAATCAAGCATATATTTAATTGGGAATATGGTAAATTATCTAAAATGTCATACACTAAATATTTATAAGGTAAATAAATGAATCACAATACCCTTTCTTTCTTTTCTTCATTATTTCCATTATCATCTTTGAAATCTCCACCTTCTCCACTTTTGCTTGATCCCTTATGAATTTCAACCTATATCAAAAAGAAATAGTTTATTGCTTTTGACATGTTTATCTTCACTACAAAATTTATTGTGTTATTGCTTTATTAATCAATTTTAAAGATCTACCACTCTCAAAGCATTAAACCTGCGAGACATAGTAGAACCAATAAAATCTTCACATCCTACCCTAACTAATTTTTTGTTGTAGCATTTTATAATAAACAGGGTGCCTATAAACTATCATTTAGAGTAGAAAATAATACACAATTATATATATGATATACACGTGGGGTAATACACCTCGTATTTATGAATGACACTGAAATATAGTAAAAGCTTACTGTGAGGAGGAGAGACCATTTCTACTGACAACAATGCTGTAAACAACCTTTTTCAGTTTAGTATCACATTTAACTATCTGTTGTTTACTTATTTAATTACAATTATTCATAAACTGGCAATATTTCTAAAATTTCTATGGTTCTATAGTTAGTCGTAACCTGTTAACACAAATATGACTATAAATGTTATTTAAGTCTGCTTACAGCTAGTCTGCAGCCATTTTATAAACTTCCATTTCATTTAAAAGCTGACATTGCAAAAGTTTTAGAAATATGGTCATTAATCCTACAGTGTAACAGCAAGCTATAATAAGTGCAGTGGTCATTAATTTCCAAAAGAATGCCATTCACAGAAAACTGGAATTTGCAAACAAGAGATGGGACAATACCAAAATACAAAGCTATGGCAACTAAATATTCATAATAATTTGTTTCCTAGGTATTTAACATAATATTATAGTGGACTATGTGCACACACTTAGCCAGCTTATAGTTACAGTTATCAGCAACAACAGAAGAGTTAGAAAATAAAAATATTAGGATGATCACTTCTATCAAATATGAACTGGTAACAAGTTCTTCTAAACTGAAATAATGAAAGTTATAATTTTCCTTAATGAAAATGTATTTCTGATAAGCACTTCCCTCAGATAACATGATTGTATTTTCTCATTTTGTGCTGCCCTCTATATGCAAACTTTTTCAGAAATGCATGCCACAAACTTTCATCCTTCCTCAGTTGGAATCCAAAGTTCCAACATGTCTCTCATGAAAATCATCATGCATCACCTCTCCACCAATAGGAGAGCACTACTATCACATGATGCATGTTACTCCCTCTACGCACCACTACCGAACTATCACTTCAAAGTCTGGCAGAAGATGCGAGCTACGTAAGATTGTGGGAAGGATGGTTGGGAAGTGTGAGTGGAGGGAAATAGCTATCAGAAATAAATTTTCATTTAGGAAAATTATAACTTCCGATAAGTTACTCTCCCTCCACTCACAAGATTAGCTTGAATACCACAATGAAATTGAGGAGGGACCGGTGGATGGAGAAGCAAAGGCGTATCCCCCAGGAAGCATCCGGAGGACACCCCCACAATGAAAGGAACAGATCAGATGATCTGAGGAGGGGTATCACACCACATCTGAACCAGGTATCTCTTCCCCAGGAAAATCAACATGATCAGGAGGACCATACACAGCAGAACATTAAAGGGAGCACATCTGCATGGAAGAGGATAGTTTAGCAATGTGGTCTTAAACAGAAACCAGAATCACTCAATCCTGCAATGGAAAGAGGGCATGTGAGGATGTGTCCCATGGTGTAGAGTAGCTAGGACACGATGGACCGTACTCGGTAAGTCAACTACATCCATAATCTCACTCGCTGGGTACCAGCATCCTCGCGAAGGTAGAACAAGGATCATACCATCTTCACTTCAAGTCCCAGAGTCAAGAGAGAACCTAATACTCTACTCCAGGAACTCACATGGGTAGCCTAATGCCAGGGATCGAGTAATGTGTCCAATGGAATCAGATGGAAGCCCATCGCATGCACTCAATGCCTGCGACCGTGAAACCAGCCCAAAACAGCCCCAAGTCAGTAACAACCTCATCACTTAGTGAGGGAAAACCCAGAATAGAAGAGGAAACTGCTGACATAGACCTTCTGCGACCCACAACACACAAGACAAGTTGGCAGTGGATCTAAACCCAAAACTTGTGTGAGGACTTATGTGATTGGTTGACCTGATATCTAAAACCTCACTCGGTGGGTACTGACATCCATGCGAGGGAAGGAGGAGGGAACCTAATCCGAGAGGTGAACTGCATTTGGGCATCTCAACTCCGGGAAATTGTTACTCATCCGGAGGATCTTGTAACTCCCTCTCCACCAGCAGAACACCACTGCTCTACTCTGAGCTGAATGGTTATAGTTATCTTTGTGGAACCCATCCAGCAGGTTGCCACCATTGTCAACCACCCCAGCAACTTGTAAGTGGTAAGGACTCCTCTACTCCACTGAAAGAAAGAGGGAAAAATGCAGTGGAGAGTCTGGAGAGACTGCAACACCTGAGATAATGCAATGAGTGATCACAAAACCCTATATTAAAAAGCAGACCACACTGATTTATTCAATATAGGCATGGCAGGGACAGGCAGCAATCCCCTTCTGCTTTACCCATGACATCCATGTGTGGTACAGTCTAGGATGGGCATATTATGAAGGAATTATCACAAGGAATGTACACTCTAGTGATTTTGTGAAACACTCCATCTCAAGAGTGAGCATACATAGCCATGGAAAATGTATAAGAACCAACATGGCTTACAGTGCAGATTTGATATCAAGATGTCTACGAATGGTTATGGCCATCTAAGTGGAACCCATTCCAAGTACAGACAGAATACCTGGTCAGGCACCACTTGCCACAGTGCGGGATCCAAAGTGAAGCTGAAGCAGGGGCCCCTGAAAGAAAAGAAAGCATTAGTGAGGGCTTACCTCATGTCACAGCCATGCTGAAGTCTGCACAATAGCCATAGGTGGAAGGAGATACCCCAAGGAAGCAGAAACAATGATGTGGTGTAGGTAGTGGGAGATGAACGTGTGTGGAGTCATCCACATGCCCTTACTTAGAATCTCTTACAATGCCCGATGAAGATGAGAGGCAAGAGAAAATGTAAGGTTACAGGTTTGATGTGAGAAAACGTAAAAGAGATCATGCTGGTCAGGGTAACCGGGGAAAGATCATGGGAAGAGGAAGGTTGCTAAGGAATAAAAAGGTAGGAATGAGGACCCCGGAAGGAAGGAAGGAATGCGAGCAATATAACAACGTGGGTATGGACAGGACAGAAGAGTCTATCCGGAACAGGATGTGGGTAGAAATGAGATATAGAGGATAGACAGATAGGGGAAGAGGAGGACTGACCTTCTCAAGCCACAGAGGTCTTGGGTGGGAAAGCATGATCCGGATAAAGGAAAAGATAGGAGGAGTGGTACAAGGACCTGGTAATGTCGAGGGCAAAAATATCCAACCTACAGTGCTTGCAGGCCTGGAGAAGGAGGAAATACACCTTCAAAGAGAGGAGAACCAGGGAATATATAGACAGAAGTTTAAACGGAGGTAAAGTGAGGGCATGAAGGACCACGTTAATGTCCCAGTCTGGGAGTGACGAATGCCTTGGTGGCCAATGCAGAAGGAAGGAACGGATCAAGAAAGGTACCTTAAAAGGGTTGTGAGGGTGAGATGAAGGCAGAAAATTGGGCTTGGGTAAGTTGAACAGGGTAATCTGGGTCTGCACCCCCAAACAGGTAGAACCGACCCTAACAACTGTTGGTCGAGAAAGGGAAAGTCCTCACGATGATAAGCAAGGGCAGACTGATACGATGTTTGTGGGGGATTAGGAATACTAACGCCCTCCCCAGTTGAGAGGCAAAATGGTCCATGTGAACCCTAATATCGGGGAACAGGGGAAATACTAAATAGGGTTGGGAAGTTGTTTTGTATAAGAGAGAAGGTCTAGGTCAATAGGAAACAGGTGCAAGAGACAAAACATCACATACCTAAGAGATAAAGTCCAGAGGGGGGGGACAAGCGATAAAAACTGTCTTCAGCCTGGCACGGCCCGAAAGGCTCAGGAGGAAGTGGAACTGAAGTAGGCAAGAGAGGTTGACTCACATACCACTCAATCTCCCGGCAAATGATCAACAATGTACCCCCCGACAGGTCGCCCACGGCTGAAAATACGGTTGACACTGACAAAGTATCAGAAGTGGTGACTGTAACTTTGGTATTCATAAGCAGGAAATACAAGGAAGTAATGTAGTAATGCTATATTAAAATATTAACTCCACAACTGTGAAATGTAGTAAATAAAGTTATGAAGAATATAAAAAATGAAAAAAACTTCAAGGCAACTGAAAAATGTAAAAAGAATGTCTAAAATCAACAGCTGCCAAACAAGACTTGATAGTTTGGTAGTGGCATGTAGAGAGAGTAACATGCATCACATGATAGTAGTGTTCTCCTAATGGTGGAGAGGTGACGTATGATGATTTGCATGAGAGACGTGTTTGAACTTTGGATTCCAACAGAGGGAGGATGAAGACTTGTAGCATGTGTTTCTGAAAAAAGTTCAAATATAGAGGGCAGCACAAAACAAAAAAGCTAATTTTTTTTGTGAGTGGAGGGAGAGTACCTTATTGGAAATTATGTTTAAATAGTGAATGATTATGTTTATTATCTGTTTGTATAACATATTTCTGCAGACATTTAAGAATAGCAAAATGAAATTATAAAAATAGTAGTTCAGATATGGAAGGGAATGCTCCGCCACAGAAATATGTAGGGATGCATTGGAAATGTCCACCTTGGTCATCCAAAGACCTGGAGAAAATGCCCACCTTTAAACTGTTTATTATCTTGCTATTACTAAAATTTTTTGCAAGAAACTAAATCCAAAAACTTGACATTAACAAAAACCATAAAATGTATTTGAAGCATTTTACCTCTTCTTCTTCAATCAGTGCCTGATGAAGTCTTTCCATTAAATCGGCTTTCAATCCTAGAACAACAGAAATATTTTACTTACTGCATAAAAAATTATTCAAAATGGTTTCATAGCAAGCTTAAAAGAAAGTAATAAGTCAAAAATCTATTCATATGGGATAAATTCCAAACATATATTCTGCAAACCATATTACACAAAAACTTTATTGACCCTGGAAAATTTTTACATCCTGTTTTTAGTAGCTTATTAGATGGTGTTTTACTTTCTTGCCTTACAAATTTCGGCAGGATAGGAGTAATCTTTAGTTAAGACAGGGAGGTTGGCCTTTGGAATGGGTTGCCTTCATATACGGTATATGCATTAAACTTCAGAGAGTTTAAAGAAAGATTCAATAACTATTTTGTGCATGATAAAGGCAGGCTTTGAGTGTTTTGTTTTGATTTTTAATTTTTTTTTTAGTCGATGGGATGTCCTACATGATCCAACAGGTCCTTTGTTATTATTAAATTTTATGTTATAGAATATATATTATGTTCATCTTGTGTTTGAGTTTAGAGATTGTGATATATAGTTACAAAGTCTCAGCCAGACACTACTTAATCACTGATTGACATTTTGTATAAAAGTTGTATTAATAAATAATATTTATCATACTCTGATAGTTATTTGGCATGTTACAAGATTTTACTAAAAGTTACGTAAATAAAATCTTCATTGATTAAGCTAAAAGTTTTTTGCTATAAATCAAAAACTAATTAGAAATAACACATTCAGGAATTCATCTTTCTAGAAATATATAGTACTACTATGTTTAGTCACAGATTATGTCAGATATAAAAGACTGTTTAGTGTACATAGTATTATTAATTTATTCATTTTGTGTTTGTAATTCATTGATGTTGAGGCTATGGAGATTTCTAGAAGGTCTAAGTGATAGATGTATAAATAGCTGCGACCAGATAAATGGAAAGAGAGAGTAAAAGTAAAGTCATGTTAAAAAGAAGTTCAGTCAGAGAAAAGTTAGAAAACGTAAAGTTAACCAAGCTTGGAGTGAATGGGCTAATGGTTGATATGTTAAAGTGAGATTGAGTTTGAAAGAGATAAGAAGAATTTGTCTCATCAAAGGGTGTTCTACACTAATCGAACCAGCATGTGTGGACTTTGACAAAAGGCAGACAATTATTGGAAGTTCAGGATACAAATGCAGTAACTCACGCGACAGCGTAAGTGAATTATACATGGATACTATTGCAATAAAAATAGAGAGAAATAGTTTGGCTTGTCAACTGAATTCTAAAGCAATTGAATTGGCCTAAGTAGACTTTTGACAAGAAGAAGAGAAACTGTAGAGTGTTTAAGATGCAATATGATCT